ACCCTTAGGGCATTACCCCCGCCACCAGTTGAGGCCCCCGTACGAACGAACGAATCAGCGGCCATTTTCGAACTAACCAAAATCTTGATTAGTTTGATCCAGGAAAGCAAAAAGGAGCAGCGAGAGCACAATGCTCGGCTGGAAACCATGATGAGGAACATGCGGCCCATTGCGGTACGCGCCCCTCCTCCGATGCCGCAAGGATTAGCCCCTGCACCTACGCTCGGAGGAGCCGCAAACAATCTAAATGTCTGTTATGCCTGCCATCAGCCAGGGCATTTGGCCCGAGACTGTCCCCACCGACCCCCGAAACAACGGATCGGGGTGGCACCCATGGCTGCGGCCCCCATCGCTAACGGGCCCAGACGAGTCGGAGCTTTGGTGGAAGAAGTAGAGGGTGGGGGAAGTGCCCTGGCCACCACGGAAGAGGTCACCGAGCTAATCCCGCTAGATCAGTACGTATCGCTCGGATACCCTGGGCTTGGAATGATCGGAACAATCAGACCAGCACCAGAACCAAAAGAGGTGGCGGAGTGGCGACCGTCTCTAGGAGAAATGTAGTCGGGAGGACCCACCTTTCTCACAGGAGAGATCGATGTATTAAACATCATCCGAGCCTTGGACTATCGGATTCCACTTCCAATCGGTCATCTACTCTCGATCTCCGAGCAAGCCAATGAGCGAATGCTACAGCATTGCAAGGCAAACCGAAAGCGATTCGCCCTCGCCCGAACACCGAACGTAAAAGCCAAAAGCCCCACGCCCGAAGAAAACCCGGCAGGCACTTCGGATCCGATACGGATAGGTTTAATTCAGAAAGACGACCATTTCCTACGGATTAAACCAATTCCGTGGAATTCCGCAGAATGCGATATTGAAATTTGGGGAATTTCTTACAACGCAATTATAGATTCGAGAGCAGCAGTGCTGGCTATTTCACTGAGAGTGGTCGAAAGGGCCGGTAGGAAAAACAATCTGATCATGCTCACTGAGAAAGATCAGCTCGTTTCGGCAGATGAAGAAAAGATCAAGACCATGGGAAGAATGACCAATGTCGCTTTCCGATTAGGAAAAGTCAACGCGCTTGGAGATGTCGTAGTACTAGACGTTAATACGTACGACGTTCTTTTCAGACTTCCCGCTCTTGTGGCTCTACGAGCAAACTTGGATTTCGAACGAAGATCGATTATCCTGCGAAATACAGGAGGAAAACCCTACGCTGTGCCCATGCGATTGACCCTTCGTACTACCATTAACACGGTCCCACGGGTTTCGCCGATAATGGCAGGGACCCTCCGCATGATTTCCTGGGATGAATCCGCCGATGAAAAGTTATCAACGAATGATGCGGACATTAGTGATGAAGATGATCCGGAAATCTTGAAATTAGCACGACAGCGCGTTTATTACCCACCGCCCAAAACGATAGCGAGAACGATGCAACTGACCAGCCAAAAAATTCAAAGGACCAAGACGATGATCTTTGGTGAGCCCCTCGTGCAGATTTCGAGGATGGTCGATTCTTTGGAACCCCCTCAAACTCTGTACGAAGAAATCACCCCTCTCCTCGCCCGGTATAACGACAAGAAGCACTATTGTGACATTACGGATCTACCCAAGTCCTTATTGACATCTGCTAAAGAAGTGAGATTGTTACGCTTAGGGGCGGAAACAAGTTCTCTGGAACCCCCTGGGCGTCTCGAAGACGAAATAGACGAACGGGGGATAAAGATCGCAACCAAGAACGTGCCGTGGTAGGATATTTGTGACGGAATTACCCCGGAATGACACGTGGCAATCCGGGAGGAAGACCCCCAGATGATGGCCACGGTGTTCTCCTGGCGGTCGGACCATTCCTTCATTTCCGCACCCCCGCCCGATGTGACAAAACAAGCGCGCACGAAACAGATTGACGTTCGGATTTGGGACCAACTCTTCGAACTACACGTTCCACAGTATGTACCGGATGAAATTCATCAGGTGATCGCGGATATTCTAACGGAATATCAAGGAGCAATTAGTATGACAGACACTGATATTGGCTTGTCCTTAGTAATTCAACATGAAATCCAGACAGGAAATCACTCCCCGATTCACTGCAAACCTTACCGGTATTCCTTGATTGAACGCAAAAATGCCCTCGAACGGATTCGAGAATTCGAAGCCAGCGGGTGGATCGAACCCGCCACTGGACCTTGGTCCTTTCCCGTAGTGTTAGTACCAAAGAAAAACGGAGCGATTCGCATTTGTATTGATTATCGCAAGCTGAATGAGATCGCAATCAAAGATGTGTATCCCCTCCCCCGGATTGATGATTTGTTGGATGCGATTGGGTGCGCTAACTATTTTAGCAAGTTCGATATTCGGCATGACTTCCATCATATTCTGGTGAGGGAGGAAGAACGGCCGAAGACGGCCTTTGTACAGTTTGAAGGCACATGGCAATGGGTTCGATTCCGATGGGGATCTGCAACGCGCCTGCCACGTTTCAGCGAGCGATGAACACGGCTGGCACAAGGGATGATTAACTTCTGCGTGATCGTGTACATGGACGATATCCTGGTCTATTCGGAAACCTATCACGGGCACTCGCAGCATATCGAATGGACGTTGGGCGCATTGAGAGACGCTGGGTTCAAGATTGTGCTCGAAAAGAGCGAATTTTTCCTCTCAGAAATTTCGTCCTTGGGCTACGTGGTGACACGTGGAGGACTACGGCCGGACTCAAGAAAGGTTGCGGCGGTGAAAGAAGCCCTGGCACCCACGTCGCTGACGCAGGTTCGAGCTTTCTTGGGATTAGCGTCGTACTACTGACGCTTCATCAAGGGCTTTGCCGCGATTGCACGGCCATTAACGAATCTGTAAAGGAAGGACCAGCCTCTCAGCTGGGACGCGGAGTGCCAACAGGCTTTCGCAACCCTCAAGGACGCTCTGGCGACGGCCCCTATTTTGATTCGGCCGGACCCTTCGAAACTGTTCATTCTCATCACAGACTGGCAACCGGAAGCTATCTCCGCTATTTTAGCGCAGAAGGGGAACGATGGTCGTGAACACGTCATCAAATGCGCATCACGCACGGTACCGGACGAACGGAGGAATGACTCAGCACCTCAAGGCGAATGCTATGCAGTGATCTGGGGAATCCAACACTTCCATCCGTATCCCTACGGACAAAAGTTTCGCCTCGTGACGGATCACGAGGCTCTGCTAGCTTTGAAGAAGCTCACCAACTACACGGGCATGATCGGCCGTTGGGCGGTGCGACTGCAAGAATACGACTTCGATATCGTCCATCGAAAGACGGAGCGACACGGCAACACGGACGGGCTGACACGTCTGCATCAACCTACCAAGGTACCAAAGGGCGAAGAAATTACACCGTGGAAAGAGTCGGACCTGACCAACGAGCCTAAGTACGAACAAGTGGCAGTCCTCCCACGCGGCAAGAATTAAAACAGTGGCGATGGGTGACGGACGTAACCCCACTACCCCTCTCTCTCCCCTTTCCTCCTCGTCTCTCCTCTCCCTGCCTGACAAATTTTGCTATTTTTGCGAAGCTATCTCCCGCGTATACTCGGTCTCCATGCGTCCTAACGGGGAAGGGTATGTTGATTGGATAGATTGCCGACAGTGTGTTGCACGGGCCCACGGCTTGTGCATCCAATGCAGAAACGATAGTAAACCATGGTTGTGCCCCTTGTGCCGGACCGACAAGATTCCAACCGAGGCTCGCTTTTTGGATGCCACATCAAAAGTGTTGGAAAAGACCCGAAAATTTAGAAGGGCCGAAGTATGGACTGATATTGCCTTAATTGCCACCTTGGTTGGCAACCCTCTCCAGGATTTCACCAAGGAAGATCGGAGGAGGGCCAACGAGAGGGCTCGGGATTACAGATGGACAGAGGGCAGATAAGAAAAACGGAAAACAGACGGCAGTGGGATTTGGATGGTTGTGCCGCATCCATTCATGCGGTATGTCTGGGTTAAGACGGCGCACGAGGAAACTACGGCTCATTTTGCCATACGAATCACGGAGTCTGCTATCGACAAAAGTGAGTGGTACTGGTCCAATATCTGCGACAATGTGAAATACATCATCGCCAACTGTCAAGTCTTCACCGCTGATAAAGCGCCGATTCATCCCCCAAGACCGATAGTGCCCACGGTAGTTGAACGACCGTTTCAAAGAGTGAGCATGGATACTACCGACATAGTGGTTCCTCCTGGCCCTAATAGCTGCGAATATTCAGTCCTATTGGTATTTGTCGACCATTTCTCCAAATGGATCGAGGCGTACCCTTGTCGCACACGACAAGCCACTGAAATCGCGTGATACGTCAATCATTTCCTCGGGATGCATCAGGATACGGAAGAGATCCTGACTGATAACGGGGCTAAATTCAGGGGAGAGGTGCTAAGGAATCTGGTCCTACATGGCGTCGCCATACGGAACACGGCACCCCACATGTCACAATCCAATGGGCTGGTCGAGAACGCTAACCGGGTGATCAAGACAGCATTGCGACGAAATATCGCGGCACGGGATCCAAGGCCCTGGCCCGATATCATCGATGACATCCTGGCGGTCCACAGCGGAACGCCCCACGAATCGACGGGGTTAAGCCCCTTCCAATTAAGGACCAATAGCGTCGCTTGCGTTTCGATACCAAGCCTCCCAGATGAGTCTACATTGAACCAACGGCCCACCAGGGCCACGGCTCGGGACAAGGCCAAACGACACCTAGAGCTAATGGAATAGTCACTGCCCAGGTTAGCCCGAAAACGAGAGAAAATGACCGAACTAGCCCAAGGCCGACAGGTCCGAAGCTACGAGGCGAAATGGGAATGCGGGTCCGCGGCCCCAGTACAAATTGGGGGACGTGGTGCAGGTGAGGAAATGTGCTCGCCAGGGTAAGCTAGCGCCACGATTCTTCGGGCGGCATCGCGTGATCGAGCTCGGGCCGAGCGGCGTGGACACTGTGCGCCTCGCCCCCGAGGTCTCCGGCAGTCGATCGGCTCGTCCGATCACACGCCACGTGTCCTATCTTCGCCTCCTCCCCTCGACTCCATCTCCCTCTTCATCGGCCTCCCCCTCACTGGAAGCCGACGGCGACGATCTTATCCCTCCGGCATCTCCCTCTTCCTCTTGCCCCTTCTCTGACACCCTGTCACCTCCGCCATCGCCATGAGCTTCGCCACCGAGCGGGCTTTCGGTGATCAGTTGCTGATGCCACGGGGAGAGATCTCAGCCATCCGGCAAGTGCATCATCCGCGGATCAGCCCCGACTTCTTGCGCCTTGCGCAGTTCTTCTGCACCTCGGGTGTGTACGGCGCGGCAGAGTTCCAGTTCACGAGCGATCCCCAGGTGGTGGTGCTGGCCGAGGCAATGGCGTTCCAACGGCGAGCGACTCCAGGTATTAGCCACGTGTCTACCGTGGTAGTCTTTAGCGGTGACATCACCACCTTCGATCCGGTGCGGCAAGCCGCCATCAAGAGCACCTTGTACAAGTGGGGTCGTGATCTGGCCACTGATTTGGATCGACGGCTCACAAGGCACGGGGACGAGTGCTATCCTGTCGACGGCATGGAGGTCAACACGCTGTGCACAACGCTGCGCGAGCCACCTGTCGTCCTCCCTGAGCTTGCTCCCTTCCAGCCACGCAGATGAGCCGCGCGCCGATCTCGACGTTTTCCCCTCCCTCGCTCTTCCCCATCTTCTGGCAGTCCTCTCACTACCCCCGTCTCTTTTTCTGCCTGAAGCCTCTGACAGTACCCATCGTTGATCCGGATCGTTGGAGGCTGTGGCGTGCAGAGTTCGTTGAGCTCTTGTTCTGCCTGCTACGAGTGGATCTGAACTGGACGTGGGAAGGCGATCAGAGACCCGCGTCAGAAACCGTGGAGCTGCTCGTCATTCAGGCGTGGACAACTAACGTGGCGGGAGACCTTCTGGGATTCGTCTTTGGAGCTGTGGATCGGGGATACCGATCACAGATCGTGCGCGAACTTACGATCGTGATCGCGCGACTGGCCGACGAGCTCCCCCTCGATATCGTCTCTCAGAGCGACGAAGAGGCGGTGCCACATGTCCTCTCAAGGACTCTCGCCCCGAGCCTCCAGTGGTCGGCTTGTATCGAGGAGCGTTGGGCGGACGACCGTTTCCCATCTCGTAGCGAGTACCTGGACGTCCAGAGCCTAACTAACCCCCGCTTCTTTCGGCAACCAACGGCGTTCGAGTGGGCAGCGCTGAGGGCAGAGGAAGAAGCAGAAGAAAAATCAGAAGGAGAATTAAGGAGAGAGGCCGGTGGAGCAGCGGCCCGGTTGGCCGAGGACGAGGAAGAGGAGCGCGAAGCAGAAGAAGAAGAAGCAGAGGGGGAGACTTCAGAAGAAGAAGAGGAAGCCTATAGCAAGCACAGTGAGGGGGAGCAAAGTGAAGAAGAGGAGGACGAAGACCACGACGAGGGAGTGGAAAGCTAAGAAGAAGATCGGGAGCCAGCGCACCACGACGAACTCGAGTGGGTGCCAAAATCGGATCGTCGAGAGGAGAGTCCTCAGGCCGCTGCGCAGCACAAGAAGGAGGTCGCGGAGGGAAAACGGCCAATGATCGACCCCATACCGAACGATCCTTCCAAGGATCCCGAGCCGCCCAACCCGGAACATGGGGACCTTGCTTCCACGACCTCGAGCGCCACGACGACAAGGCACCGACGCCGATCCCGATCCTCATCCCCCTCCGCCTCCGCCCGTCCCCCAACTCGTCAACGTGTCGATGAGGGGCTTCGCCCTTCGTCCTCGATCCATATACCACCGTCCCCTTTGCCATCTCTCTTTCAATCAGTATCTTCATCGCGTGGTCTTCCCCCGTAACCCCTTCCCCATCGCCACCTTCCGACATTTCTACTCCGCCCGCCTAGAGCTGACTTTCCATCCCCACCCTTCTGTTCGGTACGCCGTCCCCGATTACCCCCTCCACGCTCTACTCCTTAGCGCCGCGTGGCGAGGCCGTAACCACATAGAGGTGTACTGCATCGTCACGGGGACATTCCCCGCGTGCGAAGACCATGATCGGTTCCGCTCGGACATCCTTCAAACCCTCGTCTCCCTTTACCCAGACTACCTCGCTTCCCTTCCCCGCAGCGGACAGCGATTCCCCCGCTTCCATCGCATCGTCCGCTTTCAACATCTTCCCCACGACCTCACCGCGATCGGGCGCTTCATACCCGAACTTACGATGGAGCCGCCTCGCCCTCCCTCATACGCGTATCGCCTTCCTTTCCCCCTCCCGGTTAATTACTGATGCAGCGGTAATGGACGCGTGTCGCGGCAACGGCACGAGAAAGATCCCGTCCTTGGATCCTCGAGAGCCCAATCTGAGGAATTAGCAGAAGAGCAATGTTGCCACGTTGGACGACGTCCACACGCAATTGAACAGTAAGTGGCATAGAGAGGAGTGCTCCGCGTGTCGATCGATTAGAGACGTCAGGATCTGCGCTCTGGCTTCTCCCTACATGGCACTCTGCCGCGTCAGGATCTGCGCTCTGGCTTCTCCGCGCCTTAATCTCACATGTAACTGTAATCCTCTTCTTGGCAAGGTGCAGATGTAACTGTAATCTTCTGTTTCTTGATATCTTCGTTGCGCCCTTATGCGCGCATATTTTTCTCAATCTTATTGGCTTGAGCGATGCATGACTGGATCGATGCGTAGAGAGTGGCTACAGTGCTACATCCCCCACGCCGCGGCCTGGCCATGCAGTTGTAGGCACTTCCTTCCTTCCTTCTTCTTCCCTCCCACTCAAGCACAATCGGGGGCAATCCCGCCCAGGCATCCTATAAATTTGGCAAGCGCGATTAGCTCGCTCTCTAATGAATTTTGGAGTTAGCACGGTCGAGAGGATGGGCTAATGAGCAGAGGCAAGGCAGTGAGTAGGGAGTTGGGCGATCCGTCGGGCTGGTGCTCGGTATGCGGGGTTGGCGTGTGCCCGCGAAGGATTGTGGCACACGGGCGAAGTTGGCTTGCATGCTCGAACTAAATGGGGTGACAACTCTGTGTGAGTAATAGGTGCGAGGTGACAGACTGCCCGCATCGGAGGTGGCGTAGAGAGAGAGAGAGAGAGATGGGTGTGTTGAAGTGGTAATTTTGTGGAATTTTTCTATGTAGTCTCGATATCGGCTGCAAGCCATCTCCTTTTTCTTCTGCTCCCATCTATCTTGGGTTCTCCTTTTTCTTGTTTTACAACCTGATGAATAGTGTGATCTGTTTCTCCCCTGCTTCTTCCTCCCTTTAAGTGATTGTCGATCAGATCAAGTGATTGCCTGCCTTTCGGTTGTGTGCGGTCTTTGGTTAAAATGAATGTCTGACACTTGATGCATGAATGTCTGTCGATTCCTCGCTTTCCCCCCTTCTTCCTTTGTGCATTTTGGACAAGTATGCYGGAYGATTGGATGATTATCTCCCTCTTAAACCCCTTAGTCTCAGATTAGTGTACGTGCACTCGGAGTCCCAGCCTGGCGGAGAAAGACCCTAAGCACGCGCGTCTATGCAAAGTCGAGATGACCATCGCGTATACGCACGTCTGCAGGCTCTGCTCCCGACCGGACCCACAGTCAAACACTCCGCATGTATGGATTCCCCCCTCCACTATGCAACATGCATATCGAACTTCTTTTCCAGATCACCGATCGCGCGTGCCTGAGGGATCGGGAATTCTGAGAATACGAGGAGCGCGCATGCTGTTCGGCACGCACACGGGCCGATCTCCCGGAATTCCCGTATCAAACAGAAAACAAGCGTACCTGTGAGTGGGATATTAGGCGGGCCCTAGAACGCATTCCTCACTTCCCCGACCACCTCAGCCCTTACACGTGTCAGGTAATTATTGAACCCGACATTATCATCATAGAGACTGAGTTCCCACCCTACTATCGCATTCCGCCCTTCCACTGTCCAACTGTCGCCCCTTGGCCGGCGCTCGCCCCCTACTGGCCACAACTCTTGTGCTCCGAGTGTCGGTAGGACCACGCCTACCGAGCATCGGGGTTCATCCGGCGAACTCCTTTGGAAGCCGAACGACGGGAGGCTTGGGAGCATAGTCCACGACTGAGACCGACCACATCTGACTCCGAGGTCTGCGAAACCCGCAGACGCCACATGTTGCACCAGCCGGACAACCATAGCACCCCGACAGTACACAGGATATGAATCCATCCGCGGCGACAAGACCCTCTAGGGCGACCGCCCCCGGTCGGGAAAGCCTGAAACAGAAGCCCTGTCCTTCGTCGATCCCGACGATCCATTTGCACTCCTATCCCTGGAACTTGGCACCAGAGATCTTAGGTCCAACCTGGGACTCCACCCCCACTTTCCTAAAATCCTTGGCACACCCCCTTTTCGGAGTGGGCCCACACCCACTCCGAAACAGGAAGTCTCGTTGGGTGTGAGGTTGGTATCGGAGCCGACACGTGTCAATACAAGGGATTGACAAGTGGTTCGGCTCCCTAGCCCTGCTGATCTGGCGAGTCCGAGAAGAGGAAGATCCACGTGAAGACGGTGAAGGAACATGCCAGTGCACGATTTCGTAGTCACGCGAAGCTGGTTTGAGGGGCGGCAGATGGCCAATGCATGTCAATCACGCCCAAGGGGCGAATCCCGTGGGGATGATGCCGCGCAACCTGCGAGCGTCCGCACGCCAGCTGCCCCACCTGACTTGTACCTTTTTTATCCTGCACATCACTTGGCGGGAGTCTGACTTGCTACGTTGCACGCACAACAATACGATAACGACGAAGATAGGATCAACATCCCTGCCCGAGTGGGAGGGGATGCGCACCATTGGTTCATTACCTATGCTTGGATTAATCTTCCGGCCTTCGAGAGGGACTTTCTGCACCGATTTGATTATATCCACCCGGAACAAGCCTTCTTTATGATTAAGGATCGAGTACAGAAACCCCTCGAGTCCGTCACAGAATATCGCAGTAGGTTCTACAGATTGTTCGTTAAATCTGAACGAGACAAAAAAGTCGGAAGGGATTTGTTCATTGATGGACTCTGAAGCCGCACAATGTGGGCGAAATTGCGAAGGCAATTTTTCCCCATAAATCACACCATGCAGCATATCATGGACATGGCGAAAGAAATGGTATGGAAATTCGCCGCTAACTTTCTGGAAGGGGAAAATTACGCCAAGGAGGGAGATTCCTCAGAATTAGCTAGGGCGAAGACCAAGTTAGCCGCACTACAAATAAATTTGAAAACATGGGTTTCGTCTCCGGCCCCGTCAGCTACTTAGAACAGGTGGGAGTTAAGAGGTCGATGGTGGACACAACGCCAACGCCACCTATGATGGTCATCCCTGCGCGTCCTCCTGACTTGAGCACCAATCCAAACGAATCGAGTGCGATATTAGAATTAACACGAACTTTAGTGAATATAATGCAGGAAAGCAAAAAGGAGCAGCACGAGTATAATACTAGGATGGAGACACTGAAGCGATCCATGCGTCCTATTGCAGTTCGAACCGCTCCTGTACCTACGGGGGTGCCCGTTGTACCAACAACAGGCGGCGTTGGAATAGGTACGGCCCCTAGAGTGGATGGATGCTACATGTGTCACCAACTCAGTCATATCGCTCGGGAGTGCACCAACTTACAAATGCGGATAGGAGCAGCTCCCACGGTCGCGGCTCCCATGGCTAACTGACCAGGACAAGTAGGAACGATGGTTGGAAAAACCGTCTGAGCCATACTGGCAACGATCGCCTGTGCAACCAGTTGAACGTGCTGAACATGCGCGCACGTTCAAACACGCGCGTTCATATCCTCCGGGACCGCGTTCAATCACGTTCAAACGCGCTGCGCGCCACGTGGCGCAAAAAAATTGAACGCGACCCCGGGGGGCGTGCGCGTGCGTCGCGGACTACGGGGTGGTGGGCCTCGTTCAACGAACCCCGAAAGTGGAAAACCCCGCCCCCCCCGGAGGCCCACCCCCCCCTACTGCGTCACCCCCCTCCATATGTGAAAGTTCCTTTTTTTGGGGGGTGGGCGGTGGGGGAATCCCCCTAACACAGCTCAGACGGCCGATGCAAGCTATCTGAAGGGTCCTCGCAGCCATGTAGCGTAGACCCCCCCATCAAAATCAAGGCAGGCAGTGAATATGAAATATGGCACAAGCTGGCCGAATATATACTCAAGATTCAAATTCAGGACTGCTTTTCAGCAGTTATAGGTTGGTCACTTAGCTAGGGCCTGGCCGTGTTGGTCTCTGCACGTGATTCTCAGGGCTTGGCTGCACTACTCACCAAATAGGCAAAACTAGAATGAATCTTCTGCAGAACATGGAATAATACACCGCCATATGTTTTGTCTTTTGGGCATGTGGTGAGTAGTTTTCTTGTTCCAGAGGTGGGTGGTGGGGGGTCCCTTTGCCGTCGACCGTGGGGGGTCCGCTGTTCCAGAGGTGGGTGGTGGGGGGTTCAGCATCCCTTCTTATGTGCCTTCATGTTTTGGATTCTTTTGTTATGTTATGTCCTCTCACAGGTAATTTCCACCTACGTTTACGACTGCATGGGAAGCGGGATGAACAGTTGTTACTACAGTTCTCTGCCATCTTTGCAGACTCTTCGCACGCCCGTGCCCGATGCTGCTGATAACTTCTGTGAGAGCCGGTCTCTAGACATTGTCATCACACCATCGAAACGTGGTCATCCTGCACACCGTGGTGATGGTATGCCCAGACGTCGCGCACGTCATCTGGGCGTGCCATCTTTCAATATCAACGTCATGCGGCGTCTTCGCCTTGACGACATCATCAACGACGCCGTCGGCTTGCCTTCTGATGCCGGCACAGGTCCACCGCGCGGGTCTCGTGAACCTTCTATTCGGGTGAATTCGCCCTCGGTAATTGGCGCTGACTACCGGTATGTTCCCATGGACATGCTATCGTCGCCATCACGCGAAGGCAATGAAGGCGGGGGGGGGCATGTTGCTCGTTTGTCGGACGTCGACTTGCCAGTCGGAGAAGATACCGCAATATCTGCCTAAGACTGCCTTATCTGTGTTGGGCGGTGGAAAATGAAAGAGAAAATACACATACAGACTGAGGAAAAGAGGTGCTTCGACATCTACCTCCGCTTTCGAACGTAGGTGTAGCAAAGACGAGTGCAAGGCCGTCCTCCGCAAAACATGTTGCAAGACGTATCAATGTCTTTCTAAACTGAGAGTAGATGACGTGATGAAATGTAAACGTGACTACCGTGTTGTCAGAGGGAAGGATAGGCGGAAATGGTGGATAGCAAACGTCCAAAACTTCATTTCGTTAATTGACTGTAAACCGACAGTCAAACCGATAGTGCAGTTGCACTCTCTGTGCGTCACTGTTTGGTGTCTCATACTGGGCGTCGGCAGGAACACGTTCAAAAGATACAGCGATGACCTTGACGACGGAATAGTCGACGCTCTTCACGGCCATGATGGGCGTCCACGGACAACGACCACCTACGCCATTACATGGTCGGCGTTCGATGACATAATCTTGGACGAGTCTGATCCCATGTCAGATCAGACTGAGACAGACCCGAACTTCGAGATCAGAAATTGCATTCGGCTCCCGTCGGACTACGCCACAAAGAAAGACGTCTTCCTCAGTATTCATAAACGACTCTCTTAGCTTCGTGTCTGCTGCCCGTCATACCAGGTCTTCTGCAAGATGTGGAAGGACTTATTCTGGCACGTTCGCCTGGTAAGGGTGACCGACAACGCGAGATGCAACGAGTGCATTAAGAATAGCATCCTCATAGAGGGTGTTCTGCTCGAGCTGAGACGGACGCTTGTCGCAAAATAGAAAAGTCAGCTTGCACGACAGTCTGCACACCGAAAACTGTACAGCGTGTGGTCCGCTGAATCGGAACACAGAAAAAAAGAGAGCTTGTGTATCATCATTGACGGTATGGATCAAGCAAAAACAACGATTCCCCATGCATCGAGAAAACATTTGTCAAAAGAAATGTCGAATACCACGATGATGAAAACTAATCTCATCGGGATAATCGCGCACGGTAGGACACCATCGCTCTTTGTCCACACGTGTTTTCCATACTTATCGCACGGCTCGAACTCGGTTGTCACCTCCATCGCCAAAGTATTGAGAGATGTCCAGGCACGCTAAGGGGTGTTCCCACCAAAGTTGCGGGTGCAGGCTGACAACCGTGGGCGACAAAACAAAAACAAGTATGTGTTCGCCTTCATGGCTACGCTTGTCAAATTTCGTATATTCGAGGTCGTCGAAATGGGGTTCATGATAGTGGGTCGTACACACACGGACATAAATGCGAAGTTCAACTTGTTTGCAAAAAAGTTGAGCGGTTGCGATGCGTATACAATGGACGAGCTCTTCGATGTCCTCAAAGCGTCCTGCGAAGAGGAAGTCGATTGCACGTTGCTCACTCAAAATGATGACTAGAAAACTGCCATAGATCCGTATATCGATCATAAAATCAAGGGTCATGCCACGCCGCACCTCTTTCGATTCTACATGGACGGGGACAACCCCGCCATGATGTACAAGGAGTTTTGCACTAAGAAACAGTGGGAGTCAGGCACCGGCCCTGTGTATTGGTTTAAAAGGGACGCACGCAATGGGTGGGCGGGGCCTCAATGGGGTTTCCAACCTTCCCGCGAGTCACCTAACCCGCAAGCGGGCGATTTCGTTAACGGAATAGCGGGGTTGCATGTTCTATATAAATCGTGGGAGAATTCACAAATCCAATAAGAGATACAAGACGAACGCACAAGAGCGATGAAATGTAGACGCTTGAATAGCGGGGTTGCATGTTCTATATAAATCGTGGGAGAATTCACAAATCCAATAAGAGATACAAGACGAACACACAAGAGCGATGAAATGTAGACGCTTGAGCTACTGAACCGACCATCTCAAGAAGTTTAAAAACATATCGCAAGAGGAGAGCGGTACGGTGCCCCTTCAAGGTGCCTTCTGGCCAGCCCCTTTGCCTGATAAACAAGACCTCCCATCCGGTGGGCCGCATGTTCTCGACTCGCCACCGAGGAAACCTTGCTTCGTCAGTTACAAGACAGACGCTCCCAAACCGGAGTTCAAACCGCATGAGTCCGTCGGCAATAACAATTTCGTTATGTTCCGTTCGCCCGACGAGTATGTTGCAAAGGGCTGCACGTTCTGGATTGGACGCGTTCAGGAGCGGGACGATAATCGCATCCGCGTCAAGTACTGGACACCTTGCGGAAGGGATTGCGACTTAGCTAAGTTGTATGCAGACTCATGGGCAAGGACGTGGAAGGTCGAAACTGAATTCGACGACGGCTGGCAAGACCTCGACGTCGTTGTGTGGGCATGGGCCAGCAACAAACGATCAGAGACAAGTATGCGGATCCCTAAGCGAGACGCTCTCAATGCACAGTTGTCGCTGGTCGTCCCCAATAAGATGCCTGCATCAACGCACGATATGAGATATGCTTCAGACACATCTGTGTAAACGTGGCGAGGGAAGGAGTATGAGTGAGGATCATCTGTTCAATACGAACAACACAGAGCACATCGCTAATTGTTCGATTGGATTGCATTTTCCTCATTTTTTTGTTATGTTTAGAATGTCTGCATCGTCGGAGTGCAAGCGTAATGAGAAATGAGGGACGCCGGTGAGATGGGAGGATCTCCTATCATGGAAAGCAAGAACGCAAATGAGGGTTGTCGGTGTGGAAGCAATCGACTGGACAGTATTGGAGCCCTCGATTGAGTTGTGGTACGACAAGGAGCGCCTACAAGTTCACAACCTCGCCAGCCTGAAGCAAACAACGAAAGGCAAGGCAGTGACAAATGGACCAAAGCGTTTTACGGGTTGGGGTTAGTTCGCATGTGGGGAAAATGGGCGTTGAGCATCAGTGACATGCGTGACGTTTTGTTCAAACGGTGACCTGACACGGTTCGCGACACGGATCGAACGAACGAAGGTGTCATCGATGGAGCAAGAGTCCACCATGCAAAGGGCAACGTTGAAGTATATCAGACATATATCAACATAAAAATTCCCACGAGAAATGAAAGTTGAAAAAACATTCCATTCAAAAAAAATCCTTCATATTTATAAATTATCATTCCAATGTTCGTCCTTTTTTAAAATTTTCAGTTTTATTTGATAAGTTCCCGTCTAAATATAAGCTTTCCCTTCCAACTACATCTATTTGTTCAAGATGGAATGAAAGTCTGAAAGAGTTTATGAAATGTCTTAATTAAACTTTCAGTCTACTATAACAAATACCTTCTAATTTAGATTGGATTAACCCATTTATGACTGAAAATCCTTACATAGGATGACAGTCCCAATTAAAATATTTCATGAACTCATCCAAACTTTCATTCCATCTCTAGCAGGCAGTTCAAATGAGAAAGGATACCCCATTCTTGGAATGAAAGTTTTTAAGTAAGACAAGAAATTTTAAAATTGGAATGACATTTTTCAAGATAGAATGAAAATTTAGAATTTAGAATGTAATTTTACGAGAGAATGACGCAATCTTGTTCTTCATCAACGAAAGGTCGAGGATCGCCATTCACATGGCGACCACTTCAATCACATGCCACAACGAAGACTGGAAAAAACAGAAACTCAAAAAGACTAACACAATAACAAAGTTCAATATTTTCAATCATATTCGACGACGAACATGTTATTCGTTAAAATAAGACATTATATTTTAAATTGGTACTCACACGCTATTAATTTCATGTTAAAATCGCTATATTTTGGACCTGAATGGAACTTAGGAACCCGAAGAGTGCAATTGAGAGGCCATAAATTGAATCTAAACTGGAGATTCAAGGCAATCACTTACTGATCATGATGGATTAAGTGTGGATTCCATTGCACTTCCATCAATTTTGTAACTTAAAAGCCGTTACAGTTACAACATGAATTGTTGAACTCTCGATTTTTTTACACCTTGCTCAATTTTGAGTCAGCATTGAGTCGACATTGTGACTTCCCTTAATTTATTGAAACTCAATCGAAGTGGGATATTTACGGCAAGCACACGGATGGTTTAAGTACTAATAGTCTAGTATGGATTCCGTCGCACTTCGATAATTTTTGCTTTAACTCTATTAAATGTATACTAATCACGACAAAGTTTAACGAATCACATGACAAACGAGATTACGGTTTAAGTACAGTGACTATGGGTTCCATCGCACTTTGATAATTTATGTACTACATAGTACTTATCAAAAGACGTGACACTCAGTCTGTTCGGTGTGATTTAAGGATGGATTCCAACACTGTGATACTTCGATAATTTTGGACTCTATCACACTTCGACAATTTATGCGACTTTAAAGACGAAACTGACATGTCATTGTCATACATTGAAATGCACTTGAATCAGACGTACTACACATGACATTGTGTGAAGGCGAAACTAGATGATTTATGTATGGATTCTGGCGCACTTTGACAAAAAATCATAAACCGATATGACATTATCATATGAAACTGAAATTCACGTGAGTACTATGGATTCTGTCTCACTTCAAGAAATGTCGTACCCATGAAAAATTAAAAGTTAAAAATTGTACTGGTAACTAAAATTCAACATTGTACCGACACGTGCAAGAAATCGCAAATGCAAGATTGAAGTACGTCTACAATAAACGCTACAAGCCAACTGTACATTGAACTACATCTAAATGAAACGCTACGAGCCGCAACAATGTAAGCTTTCAAAAATGCTATCATTTACAAAATTTGAAGTTCCTACCGATATCCCTGCGTCCCTTTAGAACCAAACCCGTACAAGGCATTCATAGACGACCCGAAAACAAGGGTTTGTGGCTGTCCCTTCGTCACCACCCTCGAGAACACCGAAATGTACTTCATCCTTACAAACCTACAGGCACCTGCCAAGGACTTACCGATGGCGTCACGCACACAACATGTCACTTGCTCTACCTCATGCCACTTATGAACCTCGTCAATTCGACTAGCAATCTCCAAATCAGATTGTCCGTTCTCGCACAGAAGGCGCAAACTCCCCATGTTGCAACCATAGATTCTAAGGTTG